GTAACTGGGTATACACTACAATATATAATGAATACTATATAGTGAACCAATAAAAAACTAAAATATAAATTACCTCAATGTTATCAATAAACTCTATATATTCTCCAATCAGCTAAGCTACCAACAATAAGTCGTTATATATCACAATGCTATATGGCGAAAAAATGGGTGGATTCTTACCCTCAACTTTAGCAACACGGATAGCTACGGGCCCCGTTCAGACGGACGAGTTCATCCATGGTCAGAACAGAGGAGGGGGAGAGAGACAGCTGCGAGGTCCTGTTATACTCCATGTTGTAAACCATACCATTAACGTGGTGTGAGAAGTATTAAGAGTCAATGCCAGCGAAAGAGCTGCGGTCTGAAGGTCATCGTAAAATACAATTAATTAAGAACGGAAATGGTTTAAAACATCTTTCCAATGGTTACTAAGCCAGAATCCATCTTCTCGGTTGAAATTGTCTCTGTGCTTGTATATGTGAATGGCCTCATGAACTAATCTCTCATGGTAGCCGGTTGGTTTGCAAAGAACCTCCGTCTTGGAGAAGTCAATGTCATGTGAGCCCACTGAATTATAACAGTGATCTGCCATGGCAGAGGAGTTCGTTCTACCGTGTTTCAAGTCTGTTTTATGTTCGCGGATGCGGTCCGAGATATGTCGTTTGGTTTCTCCAATGTAGCTACTACCACAGAGGCACTTTAGTTTGTAAACGCCCGGGTACTGTATGTCTGGAACAGCATATTTTACAGATGGAACTAGATCACGGATTTTATGTACTGTGTTGAATCGCACCTGGATCTTGTGTTTATTCAGGATTTTGGAGATCTTTTTAGTGACCCCTGCAATGTAGGGTAAGGTGATGGTTTTGAGTGGCTCCACAAGAAGATCCTTCTTCATGACTGGAGTGATGGCTTTGCGGATTGTGTAGGCAGAGTAACCATTAGCCCTGAGAGCCTGGTGACAATTTCAACCGAGAATATGGATTCTGGCTTAGTAACCATTGGAAAGATGTTTTAAACCATTTCCGTTCTTAATTAATTGTATTTTACGATGACCTTCAGACCGCAGCTCTTTCGCTGGCATTGATTCTTAATACCTCTCACACCACGGTTAATGGTATGGTTTACAACATGGAGTATAACAGTGCCTCGCAGCTGTCTCTCTCCCCCTCCTCTGTTCCGACCATGGATGAACTCGTCCGTCTGAACGGGGCCCGTAGCTATCCGTGTTGCTAAAGTTGAGGGTAAGAATCCACCCATTTTTTTCGCCATATTGCATTGTGATATATAACGACTTATTGTTGGTAGCTTAGCTGATTGGAGAATATATAGAGTTTATTGATAACATTGAGGTAATTTATATTTTAGTTTTTTATTGGTTCACTATATAGTATCCATTATATATTGTAGTGTATACCCAGTTACTGTGAATAGCTCAGATGTGTAGGCCTTGACTTCAATATAGCCATTTCTGTGACCAGTCACAAGCTAATCACTCAGTTATTTCAATGCTAAATTCGCCTAGTTATTTCAATGCTAAATTCTCCTGTTTGATGTGTACTAGGTGCCTCTGTGAATGTGTATGCTCTGACTTTAACATAGCTATTTCTGTGACCAGTTACAATCTAATCACTCAGCTATTTCAATGCTAAATTCTATGCTAATTCATTTGTCAAGGGGTGCCTCTGCGGATGTGTATGCTTTAATTTAGCTATTTCAACGCTAAATTCTATGCTAATTCCTTTGTCAAGGGGTGCCTCTGCGGATGTGTATGTTTTAACTTTAACATAGCCATTTCTGTGACCAGTCACAAGCTAATCACTCAGCCATTTCAATGCTAAATTCTATGCTAATTCCTTTGTCAAGGCACTTTGTTTCTTCTCACACAGCTTAAAGGTCGCGATCTGAGCGTGGCTTTTTCACTCCAGCTCTGTCCTCCAGACAGTCTCGTCCCTTCACCTGATGAAGGCCGCTTGTGTTGTGGCCGAAACGTCGTGAGGATATTATTGTGTTATTTTATTTTATCAATTTATTATTTTATTCTCATTCTACGTGACTTTACCGAAAGAACCAAAGAAGATGAATCCTTGCAGTCACGAAAGCTTTAAATCGAAAAATAAGATCTGGTGCATAAGCCGTCGAACATTAAGAGATGTTGAGTTTGACCCAATGTAGAGATCACAGTGGTGAGTCCTATATGGGCAATTCAATGTAAAACTTAAGGCCGAGTGATAGATGGAATCAAGCTTCTTCAGTACAGTACTTGGGGCTGATTTATACACGATGTCACAGTAGTCAAGTAGAGGCAGTATGGTAGCTTTTATCAATTCCAAACGGAACATTGGGGGGAAGCAGTGCTTGTGTCGATACAGAAAACCAATTTTTATTTTTGTCTTTTTACCAATATAATCAATGTGATCTTCAAAATTCAGTTTTGAATCCAGGATGACCCCAAGATACTTATAGATCTTGACTTGCTCTATTTGACAATTATTTAAGGAATGTAATTGGGGAAAATAACTTCCTGCTTTAGTCCTGGTGAGAAGCATAGCACCTTGGTTTTGGAGGTATTCAGGACTAGTTTAAGAGCAACTAGCTGATGTTGTAGTTTGTTGAAATCACCCTGTAGCTTAGCAATCACGTCATCCGGAGAGCGGCCAGCAGTAATCAGTATCGTGTCATCTGCAAAAAGATTTACCCTGGAATGATCCAGGTCAGTGCCCAAGTCATTGACATAAAGAGAGAACAAAAGGGGGCCGAGGATGGAACCCTGTGGAACCCCTTTTGTTATCTTAACACTGTTTGACCTCCAACCATCTGTGAATACAGTTTGGGTGTGAGAAAAGAGGTAATTTTGTAACCATTTTACTGCGTTTTCGGAAAAACCGAGGCAACTTAGTTTACTAAGCAGGGTGTTGTGGTCTACTGTATCAAAAGCTTTGGACAGGTCTAGAAAAAGACAGGCACAGTACTGCTTATTATCAAGGCTATTGTAAATGTGATTCAGAGAGTCTAATGCAGCAGATGTGGTGCTGTATTTTTTTCGGAACCCAGATTGTTTTAGATGTAGTAGATTGTTGGTGGACAGGAAACTGCTAATTTGGTAGGTCAATAATTTTTCCAAAATTTTCATCAACGGGGACAAAATTGAGATAGGTCGGTAGTTATTTGGATCATCTTTAGGGCCCCCTTTGTGAAGTGGACGGACATAGGAATGTTTCCATTCTAGAGGAACTGATACTTCTTTGATGGACAGGTTGAAAATATGGGCTATAGATTTGTATATTAGGTGACCAACAGTTAGTAGAGCAAAGACGGGAATACTATCTGGTCCGGTAGAGGAGGACCCTTTGAGGTAGGACAGTTGTTTCAGAACATTACTTTCGTGGATTGGCTGGAAACTAAATTAGTTTAATGTTTGGACAGGAGTGTAGGAATTTGCATGAGCAGGAGTGACTCCCAATACATCATCAAAAAGATTACCAGCTTCAGAAAAATGAAGGTTAAAATTGTCAACTATTTTTTGGGGATCTGAAAAATATTCCCCATTTCGGTTAAGCTCAACGGGCAGATTGTCTGTTTTGGATGCCTTTTCGATACATTTGATTGTTTTCCAGAAAATCCTGGCATTTCCATGTGATTCCAGGAGAGTGGAAGAAAAGTAGGCATTTTTTGCATGCCGTATTTTTTTGACGCATCTATTCCTTAAAATCCTGTATTCTAGCCACTCATTGACCAAATTACTTTTCTGAGCACATGCCCAAGCCTTGTCCCTAGTTTTCATGAGCTTGGTAATCAAAGGATCAAACCATGGTGGGCGGTTGCCTTTAGTTTTAAATCTAAACAACGGAGCATGATTGTTAAGAATTTGGAGAAACGTGTACCTGAAGGTCTCCCAAGCCGTAGTCAGGGTGGGGATATCACAGACCTTGTCAATATCCGAGTGAAGCACATCATTAGTAAATGCCTGAGTGCTGAAGTGTCTCATAGAGTGCTTCTCAACCAATTTAGGGGGGGCTTTGGGTCTGGCTGATGATCTCACACCAAAAATGAAGGAGTGATCACTAAGGTTTTTACCCATAACACCAGTCAGTGTGAAAGTGTGAGGGGCATTTGTCAATAGGATGTCAAGCAGAGATGACTGTCCCGGATTTTTTGGTTGGGTCTTGTGGGGACATTTATTAATTGAAAAAGGTTAAATTCATCCGTAAAATGTGTGGCCACGGCCGGCGGGTTTAGCCAATTCCAATTTAAATCACCCACTAAAACTATTTCACCTTTAGGGAGGCCCCCAAAAAGCTCTCTCAGTGCAGATGCAGCTTCAACATCCTTCCCACTTGGCGGTCTATAGCAGCACACTACCAATATCTGTTGATTTTTTGGAAGAGTTATTACACGGGGGGGTGGGTGGCCAGCACCACGCTTGACTGCCTTTGTCTCCCCAATGGATGGCGATGTTTATACGCCACACCAGGTACCCGTTCAAGGCTGAGTTGATCTATTGGAGGCCCAGAATCGGTCCAGATAATCGTCACTGGTGTTAGCCGTGGGCAGGAATCAAACTCGGGCCGTGCAGCACGCTAACCACTAAATTCCCGCTCCCCACACACATAGTAACACATGCAGTCACATAGAGTCACACATGCAGTCAAACCATGAGAGTCGCATACAAAGACAAAGATACCCCTATATAAGCTCAACATACTTTTGGGGCAAGTGCTGTTAGCGAGCACTTGAGGGGCTGAGTGGCTAGCACTTAGCACGGCCGCCTTTGTCTCCCTTGTGGTGATGTTTACACACCGCACCAGAGTCGACTTAGGGAAGGCTGAGAACTGGTTCAGAGAATCGTTATTGGTGTTGCCCGTGTGTAGGAATCAACCTCGGGTCGCCAGGTTCGTCGTGCACTACTTCCCCCAAACAGCACTTGTCCCAACATTCTCTGCACAAGGTTATATGAATGATCTTTGTCTTTATATATTTTTGTGTGTCGTCGTGGGCAGAGGACTTCCGCTTGACAGCTGCCACCAGCCTCCTCAAGCTGGTGGTGGAGCGACACGGAGCGATGGACGGGGTCGGGCGGCTGGAGGGCACGGGGGCCCAACGCGGAGGCCCCGGTGGGCATCCAACATCAACGATACCCCTGTAGTCTTTAACATACTGTTAGGGCAAGGGCTGTTAACGAGCACCTACGAGGGCCGGCATGGCACATGAGGAGGTGGGTGGCCAACACCATGCCTGGCTGCCTTTGTCGCCCCAGTGACAATGTACGCACCGCACCAGGTACTAATTTTGAGGCCGGGTTGACCTAGGCGAGGCCCAGGACCGGCTCAGATAATTGTTGCCGGTGTTGGCCGTGAGCAGGAATCGAACGTGGGTCGCCGGGTTCGTAGCGCAGCGTGCTGACCGCTACTACACTACCTCTCCCCACGACATCACCACAGAACACACGTTACTCTCATGTGGCAGGGTTGGTGGGAACGTGCTGCCCCCTACTGTCTGGAGCAGAAGCCACTTGAAGCGATCTCAGATGTAGCTCTGTGATTCCACTTCAGCGGGCTGTTCTCTTACACAAAGACTTGCGCTTCTCTGAGAGAGTTTGATTTGTGTATTTGTTTTGTGACGCGATGCTGATAGCACATTCGGATTTTAAAAAATTGGGGATATTACACAAAAATATAAAGAAAACATTGGCATCCGCCCGCTCTGTCTTGCTGCTCTCTGTACAAATAAGCGGAGGCCATCAACTCGCTACGCTTGAGAACCCAGTTTAACCATGGGCAGCTGAAACCTGCGTTCGAACTCAGGATTTTAGTGGCGTCGACTCAACGTTTCTAACCCTCTGGCCCCAGCCACTTGGCCACCTCCCGGATTATCGGTGTAATCACAGGCGGCCGAAATTCGGACTCGCGCCCAGAATCTCTGCTGCGTCGACACGGCTCAGCGCTTTGACCGCTGGCCCACAAGCAGTTGCTTCCCGGATTCTCAGATTAATTCCAGGAGCAGCTGTAACCCGGGATTTCGGCGGTGCGGGCTCAGTGCGTTTGACCCCCTGACCCCTGAGCCACTTGCCCGGCCACCTCTCCCCTCACCCCGCAGGCGTGGAGGTGCCGCAAAGAGACCGCTGGCTGCTGGACCGAGCCATGGCCGCGTGCGAGACGTTCCTCCGCTCGCAGGAGCACGAGGATATCGATGGGACGGCCTCCCGGCCCGAGTCGCCCGACTGGGACGCCTTTCTGCAGCGGTACTACCGCTTCGTGCAGTGAGTTCGGGGTCAGAGAGGGGCAGCGGGTGGGGGCAGAGAGCGAAGACCCAGGGAGCCGAGTGCTCTGGTTTCCCCGATGTGCCAATTTTACTTATAGGGAATCGGCCAAACTTCTCATATTTCCATCACGGGACCCTTCTGAAGTGAAGTCTTGAGACTCAGCAGGGCTGTTCTGTGTGCATACTCGATTACTTTTTGACAGTATAACGCAAGTGGTGGTGCATGTATGTATGGTGAACTTTTTTGGCACCGTACGTAGCCAACCGTGTTAATCAGAGGTGCAGGGGAAGGACAACAAACTAAACACAACAAGCAGTTATAAAGAAATACGTTTATGTAGTGGTGAGTCCACTGTGCTATGAACTCACTGCCTTAAATTCGCTTCCTAACCACGGCTAACATCAGTGGCGAGTGATATCCAAACTGGTGCTGCGTTCCCCACTTCATCAGTCCGCACTGCCCTCCATGGTGAAGTACGTTCAAACAATTCCCATTAACGACATGGTGTGGGGAGGCCTTAATCCAGCAGTGGATTAACATAGGGTGCACCAACGCTCCATCACATCACACGCACAACATAAATTGGCCACACATGTATACTGTACACAGGAACATTTCAGGTATCACTGACCACTGATGTCGCCCCTGGCATAGGAATTAAACTCAGGTCGCCAGGTTCATTGCAGTTTATTTGATAGGCCAAACTATACTTTTGCTTATGAGAGCTAGAATTTAAGCAAATTGAGTGTAGAACATCGTGGGACCTCCTTATCAGAGTATGTTTTTTGTTTGCATTCTGACCACAGGTGTTGTGGTTTATGCAGACATGATTCCTCGTAAAAAGGTTTCAGTTTTGTTGCCAGAAAAAAAGGGGAAAAACCTATTCTTTTGAGTGTAGAACGTCCATCTAATTGCCTTTTAACTATTCGTAGAACAAGAATTGGAGTAGGTGACAAAGCCTTCGCCGTTTCAGCAGCAACGCTTTGGAATGATCTCGTTTTCTCCCTTAAGCTTGCGAGACTTCCTCCAAAGAGTGTCCTTAAGCAGATGATTCGTGCTGGATACAGCCACATTTGCGAACGTGATTTGTAACTTAGAACCCTTTCCCTTGTGTGTCGACAGTTCAATTTCAAAGTGTGATGCAATCGAGTGACTGTGTGTTGTCTTGGTGTTGTTTGGGACTCTTGTTGTTGTTGTGTTGCTGCCTTGCTCTAAGCTTGAATTTGGTGATGACAAATCAACAGGAATGTATGTACTTGCGCATACGTAAGTGACTTACTTACCTTTTTATTTTCTTTTTCACTTATATCGTGTTTTTTTATTGTTTGTTGATGTAACTCGCTGATCCCGCGCCCCTACTGTTGACATCTGTGGAAAAGAGATTCATCGGATTCCTCCTCCAGTCTAAATAACAATTCTGATTCTGTAAAGGTTCTGAAAACCAACTTCAATGCGAGGGTTATGCTGGTGCTGCTGCTGCTGCGTTAAGAGCAGTGCACAAGCAAAGATGACAAAAACAACTCGGAACACTCGTCTATAACGCTGTGTATGGCCTTAAAATAATAAAAAAATCTAACAGGCGATGTGTCAGGCAATGGCCCTTGTGCATAGCACATAGAAGGTGCATAATATATCTGTTGTGAAGGAGGACCATTGCCTGAAACGTTGCCTATTATATTTTTTTCCTTTTTAGGACACAGTTTTATTGAAGAATGCGTAGATGATTTCGCCGCGATGGGAGTTTTTGTGCGTGCAGCCATTGTTAACTGGGTTGAGACCATCAACTCACTCCGCTTGGCAGCCCAGTTTTTAATCCAAAGGCGGCTGAAACCTCGACTTGAACCCAGGTTTGTAAGCGGTGCCGGCTCAACGCCGGGACCTCTGAGCCACTGCGCGGTGGCCTCCCTGGAAAGAGGTCTTGAGACTCAACCCGGCTGCCACGACGGCTCCCGGATCTCCCGTCACAGAGAGAGCTGGACGCTAGGGCTGAACGATTCGAGGAAAATATCTAATTGCGATTTTTCTGACAGATATTTCGATTGCGATTTGATTTGCGCTAAAAAAATTGAAGTCAAGCTTCAGTTCAATATTCACTGTGTAATAGATTTAAAACACGTGATGGAGCATTACCACATGATACCATCAACATATGAGCTGCCCTATATATTCTAATGCAAGGGTGAGAACTTAAAAGATATGACTTGCTTCCAACATGTATTTATTAAAATGTTTTAATTGAAATAGAACAATCAAACATAGAACAATTTGTTAAGTTAAATAAATAAAGTAATAATAATAAACATTTACGATAAGAAAGTAACAGGACTTTTCAAATCGCAAAGAATCGCAGCCTTTGCGATTTTCCAATCGCATTGTTTAAAATTGCGATTTCGATTTGAAATCGACTCAACGTTCAGCCCTACTGGACGCCCGCGTGTGGGTGTGTGTGCCAGGGCCGCGGCATGACGAAGTGCAGGGCATTAAAGTGTTGAAGGAAGAAAAACATGCGGCCGCGTTTAATGGTCGCACATGTGGAGCGAGCGGGGTCGGGCAGGTGAAAGCGTAATGGGTTGAGACGGCCGTGATTTGCGGCTCGGAAATATGCGGGAGACTCAATTTACAGGGGAGAGGTTCGGATCAATCGGCCAGGGGGTTTTAACAGACACAGTGCCCCGTGTGTATGGTGCAGTCCATCACAAGTCACTCGAAGGGGCTTTTCTAATGATATTGAACCAGATCCTCATTTGCTTAAAGAAATATTTTAACTTGTTCAACAATATTATCCGGATCTTGTGTGTTAGTGTCACGTTGAGAGACGAAGAGTCATTTCGGAACTCTCGCAGAGAAGAGGCTGCACACGTAACGGGTGTCGTGTTAGAGAATGGCGCATGGATGCGGATATTGCAGAGCTGCTTCTGAGATCCCTTCGAGCAACCTCTGATCCACCCAATATGGAGCAGCACTTTCCCAACCTACCTTACTGCGGAGAGCAATGTCAGTCATGTTACCGTCAAAACCGATCATTTTAATCCTTCGGGCTAAAATTTAGCCAACATTTAATTCAGAACCAAATTGAATTTCACGGGATTATTTTGTGCAGTGAGTGGTGACTGGGCTGAGACCTTCAAGTCACTGCACTTGAGAACAGTGTTCGCACACGTGTTCATGCGTGTATTCGCACACATGTTCATGCGTGTGTTCGCACACGTGTTCATGCGTGTATATGCCTACACATGCCATCGTGTTTAAAACACGGGCCCTCGTGTGTTGGCACGTTTGCCTGTATGTCCGCGAGTCAGCTTGCGTGTAGACATACCCAGGTGAACATGGGTGCGTGTGTGTGTGTGTGCGTGCGTGCGCGCGCAGCGGTGGCGAGCGCCTGCGCGGAGTGGCGGAGCTGGCTCCACAGTGTCGTGATCTCCTGGCGCGACTCCGCGCCGCCCGGCCTCAGCTCGACATGGAGGGGACGCGCAACACCTGGGTGGTGAAACCGGGGGCGATGTCGCGCGGCAGAGGTGAGCCCAGGTGACCCCCATTGGTGCCTCGCGGTTCTCTTCAGCCCCCCCCCCCCACATGCCCCCCCCCCAAGAATCATCGTGGTCTCTCGTGGATCGCCACTCTCCCAGCCATTGGTCCCCAGTCACTCCGACTTACTCGGGCCTATCATTCCTCTGGGGTCGATAAAAAAAGTTACAATTTGTTGCGGAAGTCAACAGCAGTTGTCCTGTCGATAGATTCACCCCCACCGCAGGAATGTGGAATTTCCATCACTTTCTCAGGGCTATGAACGGGAACTTAGTACTGCCCCAGTGCTCATTTAAATTTTAGCAGAGATCACTTTGGAAGTAGTGTAGATCATCATCATTATCATGGTCCATACATAAATTGATGATGTGCGCAAGCGATCGATGGATTGCTTCCCCAAGCGGTAGCGCTTTTGTTTTTTTATTTTTTTTTATTTTTATTCGCTTCATTGGTTTACTTTATATGGCTTTGGTCATTTTGGCAACCCAGGTCACTCTTGCAAATGAGTCTCTTATCCTGGTCCCTTGAGTTCTCACCCTGGTCGCGCAGAATCAACCGGAAAGCTTGAACTTGGCCCTCGATTGGCAGACGTGCGTGGTAAGCTGAGATCGGTGGTGGCGGTGGCCTTTGTTCAACAGTCAATCCATCGCAAACGATGATGACGATGACAACGTTGTCGATCTCTAACCCCGGTCGCAATTGCCCACCGGTCAGGGTTTTTTTTTTTTGTTTAACCAGGTAAGGCCCACTGAGTTGTGCAGCTCTTTTTCAGAAGCGGCCTGGCTGTCACAAATGATAGATCAACGAAGTGGCTTATCATGTGGAAATGTTTCTTAGCGTGGAGGGAAAAAAACAGAGGACCTGGAAAAAAATCGACGCGACCACGTGGAGAGAGACACGCAAACTCCCAATATACAGCAGGCGTCAGGGTCAGGATCGAACCCATGGCCTCCTGTATACCAGGCGAGGTAGTTAACATCTCGCCACCCATGGGTTGACTCCATCAGGCGTGCTGTGCATGAACCGCCTGTGCGAGATGCTGCGTCTGGTGGAGTGTGACACCGCCTTGGTGAAGGACGGCCGCTGGATCGTGCAGAAGTACGTCGAGCGGCCGCTGCTCATCCACGCCACCAAGTTCGACATCCGGCAGTGGTTCCTGGTGACCGACTGGAACCCGCTCACTGTGTGGTTCTACCAGGACTGCTACCTGCGCTTCTCCACGCAGCCCTTCCAGCTGGACAACCTTGACACGTGAGGGTCTACGTTCGTTGTGTTTAACTCGAGTCCTTGACGACAGCCTGTGGAGTCTTAGTCCTGATTATCAAGGTGGCTGCCACGCCTGAGCGATCGGTCGTGCAGCTTGGTTGCGTGGGGACTCCTCTGCAACCAGTTGCGAGCAGTTGCACAACCAATTGCGAGCAGTGCAAACAGACTCGACTTGCAAGCGTTGATCTGCTCCGCGTTTGGTAGTAGCGTTCATCGCGTGACACAGGTGCGAGTTGTGATTGGTTGCTACGATCCTGATGTGAGCAGGGGGTGGAGCTAACCAGGGAAGGGGCGGGGCTATGATGCCAGATGCCACGTTCTTGTTGCTCAACTACACGCTCAGATGTGGACAAAGCAGTCGCAGGCAGTGATTGAGTTGCCCGATTTCGGGAGCGGATTGGTTTTGCGACTGACCGCTCAGGTGTGGAGCTGTCCTTAGGGTGCAGCTGTATGTATAACTTATTTCGCACCATACGTAGCCAACCGTGCTAATCGGAGCTGCTGTCAAGCGTTTATTCCACTCCGAGTTATTAGACATTGGTGTGAGGGTGTGCGGTCTGGGTCATCCATAGGGGGGGTGCAGCGCCCGGGGGAAATTACACCGTGTGGGTCTCTCAACGCCTTCAAACTAGTCACGGGCCCCCCCAAAGCGCGGGGCCCGGGGCGGTCGCCTCGATTCGCCGTTACCCTAGGGACGGCTCTGCGTGCAGTTTCTCTCCCTCCCCCGTCACTGACGCCCATCACTGATGCCCATCACTGATGCCCATCACTGATGCCAATAGGGGCCGTCCATAAATGACGTCACTCGATTTTTGCCGATTTTTGACCCCCCCCTCTCCCCCTCGTCACATGGCGTCACAAAAAGTCAGACCCCCCTCAAATATGACGTCACAAAGCTCTGTGCCCCGCCCACCCCAAACCACATTTCCATTTTGAAAATAAAACTTGCTTCAAATCACTTTAAACTATTGTCATTGTCGTGCGTATTTAATGTGGCGCTGCACTCTGATGTTGTAGGAGAAAATATGTATTAAAAAGGAGGCGTTGGAAAGCTTACATTTAGCATAAAATTCACTTGAAAATATTCAACGTCTAACTAAAACTGCAGATGTTCAGAATATTATATTGAAATTCTCTTATAATTATAAAATATTAAAAGTAATTATAACTATAAAAAAATACTTGAAACTTTGTAGTAGAACGAAGCACAATGGAGAGTACAATTATAACATTTACATATTCATTCCACAGAATGAAAAGCCCTGGTAGAATCATTAAAATAAAAATGTTTAATAACAATCATTCAAGAAATTGACAAAATGTATGCTTCTCCATTTTCCCATGGAAAAGCAAAATGCTCCTTCACGGAATAAATGAAAGGTGACCTTAGTATATTTAAATAATAAAATAGTTCATAATTAAAATTAATCAATTAGTGTTGTTATAACAATTCTATTTAATTCATATTTATTTAAAGTTGCGAATTTTTACGTCACGTCACATTTCTCAAACCCCCTCTCCCCCCTCCCCCCCTCGTCACACATCGTCACAAATGTCTGACCCCCCTACCCGCCTAGGTGTGTGACGTCATTTATGGACGGCCCAATACGACGGGGTGCTCATGGCTTCACAGAAGCTTCAACGCACATCCCCTTAACTTCCTCGCCAGAGCCTCCTCTGCATCTGTGTCTCAGCACCTCCCTCATCTATCCCGTACGGCCCCTCCCCTTGGTCCCCATAGCTCCGCCTATCTCCGGCGGTGGAACAGAAACCAAAATTCTACGATTTGATTTTGTATATAGCGAATTAACACGTTTGGTTTCTCTCTATGTACTGTCGTCTGTAATGATGATGATGAAAACGATGATGACACACCTGTGAACGCGCCATGTCCCCTGTCTCACCGCAGCTCCATTCACCTGTGCAACAACTCCATCCAGAAGCACTTTGAGAACGCGCAAGGCCGCTCGGCGCAGCTGCCCCGGGACAACATTTGGCACGGCCGGCAGTTCGTGTCCTACCTCGAGTCGCTGGGCCTGGGCTTCGCCTGGGAGGGGGTCGTCGTGCCCGGCATGAAGCAGGCCATCATCCATGCGCTCCAGGCAGCGCAGGTGAGTCGCGGCCGGCAAGCGGACGGGTGGGAGTGTGTAAGTGCGCCTGTGCATGCGCGTTTGTGTGTGAGAGCGCGTGGGGTGCGATAGTGATGGGGAGCAGTGGCCTGGTGGGGGAGCGGTAGTGTGGCGGTTAGCGCGCTGCGCTAAGTAACCCAGTGACCCGAGTTCGATTCCCGCTTACGGCCAACAGCAGTGACGATTGTCTGAACCGGTCCCGGGCCTCTCCTAGATCGACTCAGCCTTCAATGAGTATCGGGTGTGGTGTGGTAACATCAGCTTCACAAGAATTGTGCGATCCACCAACCCTCACTGCTACAGTGCTGGATTACAAGCATGGTGTGCATGGTGTGCATGGTGTTCATGGTGTTCACGCTGTTCATGGTGTACATAGTGTCCGTGCTGGTCACAATGTTTAGTGTTCATGGTGTGCATGGTGTTCATGGTGTTCACTCTGTTCATGGTGTGCATAGTGTCCATGCTGTTCACAGTGTTCATGGCTTAGCAATCATTAGCAATCATTGGAAGGATTTGATAAACCATTTCAGGTCTTAATTGATTGTTCACGCTTATGGTGGCTTTCAGACAGCATACATTAATTTTTCGTCTCCCCCCTCCTCTTTTCAGAACATAAATGGACTAGTCCTTCTAAATAAACTGCCAAATCGCTGCTCGTGGCGCAAACGGTTTTTTTTAAATAAATAAATACACCGTTTAAAAATAAATACATAAATGCAAACCGCCACTTCTTTCAAATGTTTCTTGCCGTTGGTTTTTCACACCTGATGACGATCGTTTGTGTTATGGTCGAAACGTCGTGAGAATTTTTATAGTTTTATATATATTTTATTATTTTATTGTTTCCCTTCAACGTGACTTTACCGAAAGAGCTAAGAATATGAATATAGTGTTCATGGTGTGCATGGTGTGCATGTCGTTCATGGTGTTCATGGTGTTCATGGCGTGCATGGTGTTCATGGTGTGCATGCTGGTCACGGTATTCATGGTGTTCATGGCGTGTGTGGTGTTCATGGTGTGCATGTTGTTCATGGTGTGCACGGTGTTCATGGTGTGCATGTTGTTCATGGTGTTCATGGTGTTCATGGTGTTCATGGTGTTCATGGCGTGTATGGTGTTCATGGTGTGCATGTTGTTCATGGTGTGCATGTTGTTCATGGTGTGCACGGTGTTCACGGCGTGCATGGTGTTCATGCTATTCGCGGTGTTCATGGTGTTCATGGTTATCCGTGGGGTGGCGCATGCCGTCGCCCAGGATGTGGTGGATGCCCGGCGGGGCAGCTTCGAGCTGTACGGCGCGGACTTCTTGCTGGGCGAGGACCAGCGGCCGTGGCTCCTCGAGATCAACTCGAGTCCCACCATGAGCCCCTCGACCCCGGTGACGGCCGAGCTGTGCGCGCGCGTGCAGGACGACCTCCTGCGCGTCGTGCTCGACCGCAGGGTCGACCGGTCGGCACACACGGGCGGCTTCTACCTCATCCACAAGCAGGTGGGCACTTCGCCCCCAGTCGTTGCCTGTGCGCTAGGAGCTGTAGCTGTCTGGAGGAGCTGTGGCTGTGTGGAGGAGCTGTGGCTGTGTGGAGGAGCTGTGGCTGTGTGGAGGAGCTGTAGCTGTGTGGAGGAGCTGTGGCTGTGTGGAGGAGCTGTGGCTGTGTGGAGGAGCTGTAGCTGTGTGGAGGAGCTGTAGCTGTTAATAATAAATAGTTTATTTCCGTGCAAAATTGAATGCATTCATCAACGGCGATTGACAAATTGACTCGTTTCTGCACGGCGAGTGATAACAATCGCTTACTAACCGGTGGCCCATCGCATCCCCAGTCATCACACTAACGAGGCTGCCCCTCCCCCCGCAGCCTGCCGTGGAGGTGCCGCAGTACCTGGGCGTCAACCTCTCCGTGGAGGGAGAGAGGGTCAAGAGGTCGAGAGCGTCGCAGCCGCGGATCGGCGTCCCCATGTGCACGGGAGCGCCTCCCGACCGTGCGCCGCCCCACACCGCGCATCCCCAGCGGCCGCCGTCTCCCCCCACTCCACCGGTCCGCCAACTCCACGGCGTCCATCCGGCGCACGGCGCTCGCACTGCCGGTCCGCACTACCACCACCACCAGCACCACCACCAGCACCACCACCAGCACCACCACCCCACGCTCTCCGTCAAGAGCCCGAGCGGGCGCAGGCGGGCGGGCGACGCGCCCCGCTTGCTGCGGCGGAGCCACAGCCTCGTCGCGCCGGTCAAGAGGCAGCAGCGCAGGAGCCACAGCCGCAGCCCCGAGTCGGACGCAACCATCGCCCGCCGAGCCGTCCAGCGGTTCGCTCACCGGGCCGCATGCCTGGAAACGCGGGGGGGAGGAGAGATCCCGGCGGCGCCGGTGGGGGCGACCAGGGAGGTGGTTGCCTGCGCGGTGGTGGCCGCGGCCGAGCTGCCGCAGGCCAGTGGGACGCCTGCCGGAGGGCACGTCGCTGCCGCGGTGACGGTGTCCATGGGGAAGGGCGACAACGATGGTGATGACGGTGGCGCCGCGAGGGTTTGTGCCGCGTCTGGAGAGGCCAGGTGAGTGGCGCCCGCACCTTCACGTGCGGATGCTCGGGGGGGAAAACAACACATCGGTATATGAAGAGCTCTTGTCAAATCAAATGCACGTGATTGACGAATCAACGATAGACTCACTGGAACAAAACTAAACCGGTCAAGTTCGATGGATAGGGATAGATTGATTTAGTGCAACAGGTTTGAGTAAAACCGTCCCATGCAAAACTACAGAACTTTAAAACTATTGTTCACCAGAGCCCTGCACTGGGATGTTTGGCCAATTTCTCTTCAAGCAGAGTGATCAGAATATTCCCGCACACTATGGACTTTGTTCGGTCCGGTATGTTTTTCCACCTCCGGATCTCAGTGGTGCCGACCTCATTGTAGTTAAAATCTCGCCACGGTAGTTAACATTTTGCCATGGCACCACGGTGGTGAGATTTTATCTACCTCGCCTGGTATACAGGAGGTTGTGGGTTCAATCCCGGCCTTGACGCCTGCATATTTGGAGTGTGTATGTTTTCCCCGTGGTCATGTGGATTTTTCTCCAGGTCCTCTGATTTTTCCCTCCACATTTAGAAACATGTGTTTCTACTATAAATGTCCACGTGATAAGCCACTTTGTTGGGCTATCATTTGTGGCCAGGTCGTTTCTGAAAAAGAGCTATATAGCTCAGTGGGCCTTACCTGTTAAATAACAATTGTTTAAATTTTGATTTAAAGCTTTCGTGACTGCAGGGATTCATATTCTTGGTTCTTTCGGTAAAGTCACGTAGAAGGGAAACAATCAAATAATAAAAATATAAAACAATAAAATTCTCACGACGTTTCGACTGCAACACAAGCAATCATCAAGTGTGAAAACCACAGCAAGAAAATTTGAAAAAAGTGGCGTTTTTTTAACGGTAGCACCACGGAAAGCGATTTGGCAGTTATTCAGATAGATGAGTCCATCTATGTTCGGAAAAGAGGAGGGGGGAGACGAAAATAATGGATGTGGTCTGAAAGCCACCATAAGCGTGAACAATCAATTAATTCCCAAAATGGTTTATCAAATCCTTCCGATGATTGCTAAGCCGGAATCCATCTTCTCGGTTGAAATTAACTCTGTGTTTGTATATGTGGATAGCCTCATGAACGAATCTCTCATGGTAGCCCGATGGCTTGCAAAGAAGCTCTGTCTTGGAGAAGTCACTGTCATGTGAGCTTACTGAATTATAACAGTGATCTGCCACGGCCGAGGTGTTAGTCCTACCGTGTTTTAGGTCTGCTTTGTGTTCACGGATGCGGTCCGAGACATGTCGTTTGGTTTCTCCAATGTAACTACTACCACAGAGGCAACTTAGTTTGTAGACACCAGGGTACTGTATGTCCGGAATCACATATTTTACAGACGGAACCAGATCACGGATTTTATGTAATGTGTTGAATCGGACCTGGATCTTGTGTTTATTCAAGGTTTTGGAGATCTTTTTTGTGATCCCCACAATGTAGGGTAAAGTGATGGTTTTGAAAGGCTCCTCAAGAGGGTCCTTCTTCATGGTTGGAGTGATAGCTTTGCGGATTGTGTAGTCGGAGTAACCATTAGCCTTAAGAGCTAATGGCTATGTGTTCCTGGTCGGATATGCATTGGGCTCTATGGTGCAGAGTCTTGATGAGGGAATTCTTCTGGGATGGATGGTGGTGGGAATCCGGTTTCAGGTAAGCATCCGTATGGGTAGCTTTCCTGTAGACAGAGTGGCTCATTGAACCATCAGCTCTCTTTTTTCATTAGGACATCCAAAAAAGGGAGCTTGCCATCTTTTTCAACTTCCATGGTAAGTATCTGATGGCTGGGTGTATGGAATTGATGTGGTCGATGAATTGGTCTAACGTTAAAAAAAAAGTCACTTTTTTCAAATTTTCTTGCTGTGGTTTTCACACCTGATGATGATTGCTTGTGTTGCAGTCGAAACATCCTCAGAATTTTATTGTTTTATACTTTTATTATTTTATTGTTTCCCTTCTACGTGACTTTACCGAAAGAACCAAGAATAACAATTGTTTCGTTTAGTTTTCCGATCACCAATCCACCCACCTCACCTACGCCCATTCTCGCACTACTAAAAACGAGCTTCATAGCTCTGCGGATTCCTCCAGTGCAAACAAAACATTCCCGATTCTGACATCGCAGGAGCGACGCGGAGTCACGTGGTGCGGCGGACGACCACCGCTCGCACTGCGCGGGGCTGTGGCGGCAAGACGCCGCTCCGGCGCAGGAGGGGGATACGGAGCCGGGCGGCGCGGCGAGGGACAGCCGGCGCACGCTGTCGCCGTCGCCGCTAACACTCGACCCAGCGTCCTGCCCGGCGGTGGCCCGCGGGAGACGGGCGCCGCCATGCCCAAGCCTCGCCCCCACGCCGAGGCCCCTGACACTGAGGGTGAGCGCCGTCGCGTGTGCAGTGTCGTAGTAACTATATTATCAGTGGTGTAGTAACTATGTTAGCAGTGGTGTAGTAACTACATTATCAGTGGTGTAGTGACTACATTATCAGTGGTGTAGTAACTACATTATCAGTGGTGTAGTAACTACATTATCAGTGGCGTAGTAACTACATTATCAGTGGCGTAGTAACTACATTATCAGTGGCATAGTAACTACATTATCAGTGACGTAGTGACTACATTATCAGTGGCGTAGTGACTACATTATCAGTGGTGTAGTAACTACATTATCAGTGGTGTAGTAACTACATTATCAGCGGCGTAGTAACTACATTATCAGTGGTGTAGTAACTACATTATCAGTGGCGTAGTAACTACATTATCAGTGGCGTAGTAACTACATTATCAGTGGCATAGTAACTACATTATCAGTGACGTAGTGACTACATTATGAGTGGCGTAGTGACTACATTATCAGTGGTGTAGTAACTACATTATCAGTGGTGTAGTAACTACATTATCAGCGGCGTAGTAACTACATTATCAGTGGCGTAGTAACTACATTATCAGTGGTGTAGTAACTACATTATCAGTGGCGTAGTAACTACATTATCAGTGGTGTAGTGACTACATTATCAGTGGTGTAGTGACTACATTATCAGTGGCATAGTAACTACATTATCAGTGGTGTAGTGACTACATTATCAGAGGTGTAGTAACTACATTATCAGTGGGGTAGTAACTACATTATCAGTGGCGTAGTAACTACATTATCAGTGGCGTAGTGACTACATTATCAGTGGCGTAGTAACTACATTATCAGTGGCGTAGTAACTACATTATCAGTGGTGTAGTAACTACATTATCAGTGGTGTAGTAACTACATTATCAGTGGTGTAGTGACTACATTATCAGTGGCGTAGTAACTACATTATCAGTGGCGTAGTAACTACATTATCAGTGGTGTAGTAACTACATTATCAGTGGTGTAGTAACTACATTATCAGTGGTGTAGTAACTACATTATTAGTGGTGTAGTAACTACATAATCAGTGGTGTAGCAACTACATTATCAGTGGTGTAGTGACTACATTATCAGTGGTGTAGTAACTACATTATAAGTAACGTAGTAACTACATTTTCAGTGGTGTAGTAACTACATTATCAGTGGTGTAGTGACTACATTATCAGTGGCGTAGTAACTACATTATCAGTGACGTAGTAACTACATTATCAGTGGCGTAGTAACTACATTATCAGTGTTGTAGTAACTACATTATCAGTGGTGTAGTGACTACATTATCAGTGGCGTAGTGACTACATTATCAGTGGCGTAGTAACTACATTATCAGTGGTATAGTGACTACATTATCAGTGGTGTTGTAACTACATTATCAGTGGCGTAGTAACTACATTATCAGTGTTGTAGTAACTATATTATCAGTGGTGTAGTGACTACATTATCAGTGGTGTAGTGACTACATTATCAGTGGCATAGTAACTACATTATCAGTGGTGTAGTGACTACATTATCAGTGGCGTAGTGACTACATTATCAGTGACGTAGTGACTACATTATCAGTGGTGTAGTGACCACATTATCAGTAGTGTAGTAACTACACTATCAGTGGAGTAGTGACTACATTATCAGTGGTGTAGTAACTACATTATCAGTGGCCTAGTGACTATATTATCAGTGGTGTAGTGACTACGTTATCAGTGGCGTAGTGACTGCATTATCAGTGGTGTAGTAACTACACTATCAGTGGCGTAGTGACTACATTATCAGTGACGTGGTGACTACATTATCAATGGCGTAGTAACTGATGTCACGTGAGATGATGCATTTACATGGAGTTCTCCTCTCTTCCGATCTTGTGAGATATTCTTCTTCCGAATGATAAGTCCCCATTTTCTGTACCTCAAAGGTGGCAACCTTAATCGAGTGTGAGACGTGAACATTCACCACCGGTGGATAGTGTTAATATTTATACCTTAGCGAGTGTCCTCCTTCTGTTTCCCTCAATGCATCCTGACAGCAGCATTTCTCACCTCTTCCTACACCGTAAAACCTCCCACTCATATCTTCACCACCCCGTGTCCCCCCGTCTTATCTCTCGCACCCGTGTCCCCACCACCCCGTGTCTCCCCCGTCTTGTCTCCCGCACCGTGTCCGCACCCACCCACCCCTGTGGTGTGCCCCGTCGTGTGACCACAGCTGTGGCGCAGAGCTCAGCAGGGCGCATCCTGGCGGGAGGTGAAGGACTCGAGCAGCGTGTGGAGGGACGTGAGCTTCCCGCCTCTGCGGCCCCCCCGCCCCCCGTCGGGGATGTGCCCCCCGCTCCGCTGCGCGTTGCCCCCCGTGGTGCTGCAGGGAATCGTTCGGCTGTCGGGGGCGGCCGTCCAGGGCTCACTGCCGCCACCCTCCATAAGAGCCAATCGGAGGGCCTTCTACTAGGGCAGCGTGGTGAGGCTGCCAGTGTCGGTGGCGATGATGTTGCCGTTGTCGTGAATATCGTCGTCCGGCGATACTCATCATCACGATCCATTAATGATGATCGTGAGCGTCTTGCAACCCTCGTTGTCATCGTCTTTGTCATTGCTCATTAACAAAAATCATCACTATCATTCTGCAACATTCATCATCACCGTCATCATTCCACAGTACTATGCATTAATCACCGATGAATGTTAATCGTTATTAAAAATAATCTTCATCGTCATCATTGTTCATTAGTCGTCGTACAGAAAAAACAAATATTACCATCATCCAATAATGATGGTCATCGAGGAAAATGCATTATTGTCATTATCATCGTTGTCATCCATTCATGATTACAATAATTGAGCAACAGTCTTTATCATCATCATCATTGTGATCATCAGCAAATAATCACCCAGTATTGTCGTTATCATCTTTCAGCAATCATAATCGTCATTTTATGAGCACCATCATATTGCTGTAATAATTGTAATCCAAAACTACTCACCCATTGTCAACATCATTCTAGAGGAATGATCATTATCTTCCAACAATGATGATATACATCATCATCCATATTAACCACCCACACACGTTATGCCATACTAATCATTGATCATCAATATTCACTCAGCATGATCATCTTGTCATGATATATGTTCATTATAGTCAGCAACAATACAAATCAAAATTCATCATCATCCAATAACAATCGCTCATCATCAATCAACAATCTGTGGTGCTACTATTTAATCACTTGACTCACACTGAGCATGGGAGTTCAATCCCAGTAGAGAGGTCAACTCACCCTCTCATACCTCCAATGTCAGTAAAACAACTACCAGTTTGTGAGAAGTCAACGGCCGTTATGCTAAAGAGTAACTCATCCCCTGCCATAGGAATGTGGAATTTCCACCACAAGCTCAGGGCTGTAACCTGATGAGTATTTCTTCATGCGTAAACCTAACGCGAAACCACTTTGTCTTTTTAGATCATCCATCATCATCATGGTCATCATCATCTTGACCATTATCATAATCCATGATCATCATCATCTTCATCGTCACCATCATGGTCATTATCATCACGGACTTCATCAATCATTAGCCAAGCTGTGGTAGCTATGCAAGCCTGTAATCAAGCATTTTGGAGGTGAGGGGTTGGTGGATCATACAACTCCCTTCCCGTGGGCATCGAGGTGCTATACCCTGGCTTGCCAGGAGAATGCAGTACAGCATATTTGTGAGTCCGCTTATTCCGTCCGTATGGGATAGAGCGTTTCCCCCTAGCATGCGTGAGTTTTCTCCGGGCGCTCTTGATTTCCTCCCACACATGTAAACACTCGTTAATTGGTTGATAACAACCTTGGTACATAGAGGACCTCAGAGTTTGGGACATTGTTTGCACCGGCTCATCGCGTGGCTGCCTTCCTGCTGTGTCTGTGGTTCCTTGCGCCTCTGAGCCGTTGTGCAGTGTGTTACAAGTCGAATGTATTGTTATTATCGTCAAGCGTTTGAGCGTGGGGTGCACATTTGTGTTTATGTATGTGGTGGCGTGTATGTTATGCAATATGTGGCCACGTTTTATATTAAATATATATTTGAGTTGTCAAACGTGTGCTGGTGGCAAATTATTACATCATCGATACAGGTGCGTCTCGCTTAACGAGCGTTCTTTCTACGAAAATTCGCTACAACGTGCAATTTGAATCTCGACCCATTTGTTCGCAAAGCAAGCAAAATGTTCGCTTATCGAGTGGAGACCGATTGATAAGTGTGCGTCCTGTGGCGGCAGGGGGCGCACGGTGGCCCACAGCTGTTTGTTTACCAGCTGTGCTGCACGCACCGCGTGTTCGTGCTGTGGGGGAGGGGGTCCCCGTAGTGGCATTGTAATGGGTGGCGGGAAGGGGAGTGGTTAGCGCTCTGCGCCACGAACCGGTCCTGGGCCTCCCCTAGGTCGACTCAGCCTCAAATGAGTACCTGGTGCGGTGTGTAATCATCGCCACTAGGGAGACAAAGGTGGCAGGGTGTGGTGCTGGCCACCGACCCTTCGTGTGCCGTGCCAACCTTCATGGGTGCTCGCTAACAGCGCCTGCCCCAAACAGTCTGTTAAGGCAATATGCAGGATCTTGCACTGTGGTTCTTCATGTGTGGTAAGTGCTACATTTTATTACTTAACTAGTTCATGAAGCCTGTCTTTGCCAGGCAAAGGTTTCCAATAAATATAATAACTGAACTGTTATGATTTTTTTTTAATCTACGATCAGACACTAACAAGTGCTCCAAAAATGTGTATTTTTACACAAAATAAATTGTTGACGACTTCATTCAACATTTATTTAATGACGTACCCATAGTAAGCCGCTCAATTTAAAGATATCGTTCTTTTTATATTAGAAAGAACAAAAATTTATTAACTTAATACTCCATGAAAGCTTCGATATTTGACCGTTTTCGAATGATTCAGATTTGATCATCATAAAAGCGGATATTTTTGTTCAAACCCGCTTTTATCCGAAATATCTCGGATTAAAGCTGGAAGGAGAACATTTTCAATCGGTGCACATCTCCTCTGACGCATTGGGTCACAAACATTGACGGTGACCAAAAGGAAGAGGAACACGTGGATCGGAATGCAAACATACATACATCCACGCACACGTTAGAGCAATGGTTCCTTACCTTCACTGCAGCCTTCCACCCTTTGGGTCTCAATCGTTAAACAATGTACAATGTTATTAAACACATAGAGGCTTGATAAAAAAAAACAAAGTAGTTGTACTTACGTGCCCGCGCTTAATTTGTGTTTCGATGATTTACCTTCCTAAAACAAATCCGGCCATGTCCTCGCACCCCGAGAAAAAAGTGCATCTCGCAACCCCAGGGGCTGCGTGCACCCCAGGTTAAGAACCACTACATTAGAAACATCTTAATGGCACTTGAGAAAAGTATGCGGAAAGGACACGTCATGACCAGAAGAGGTCATCATGGCTGGTGGGCGAGCCTGGTGGTGGAAAGGCAGGCAAGGGAGAGAAGACGCCGTGGAGATGGAGCGATAAGATTAGCTCATGTGAAGAAGCGAGATTGCGGTATCGCAGGACCGTGTGGGGGGAGGCTTGCATCCAACAGTGGAGAGAACATGGCTCATGATGACGATATGCCCATCCTGGTTCATAGATCTTGCCAATGTGAGACACCGCTCAGTACCCCCATCATACACACATCTGACTACTACATACAGTGAGGGAAAAAAGTATTTGATCCCCTGCTGATTTTGTACGTTTGCCCACTGACAAAGAAATTATCAGTCTATAATTTGAATGGTAGGTTTATTTGAACAGTAAGAGACAGAATAACAACAAAAAAATCCAGGAAAACGCATGTCAAAAATGTTATAAATTGATTTGCATTTTAATGAGGGAAATAAGTATTTGACCCCCTTACAATCAGAAAGATTTCTGGCTCCCAGGTGTCTTTTATACAGGTAGCGAGCTGAGAATAGGAGCACACTCTTAAAGGGAGTGCTCCTAATCTCAGCTTGTTACCTGTATGAAAGACACCTGTCCACAGAAGCAATCAATAAATCAGAATGCAAACTCTCCACCATGGCCAAGACCAAAGAGCTCTCCAAGGATGTCAGGGACAAGATTGTAGACCTACACAAGGTTGGAATGGGCTACAAGACCATTGCCAAGCAGCTTGGTGAGAAGGTGACAACAGTTGGTGCGATTATTCGCAAATGGAAGAAACACAAAAGAACTGGCAATCTCCCTCGGCCTGGGGCTCCATGCAAGATCTCACTTCGTGGAGTTGCAATGATCATGAGAACGGTGAGGAATCAGCTCAGAACTACACGGGAGGATCTTGTCAATGATCTCAAGGCAGCTGGGACCATAGTCACCAAGACAACAATTGGTAACACACTACGCCGTGAAGGACTGAAATCCTGTAGCGCCCGCAAGGTCCCTCTGCTCACGAAGGCACATATACATGCCCGTCTGCTGAATGATTCAGAGGACAACTGGGTGAAAGTGTTGTGGTCAGATGAGACCAAAATGGAACTCTTTGGCATCAACTCAACTCGCCGTGTTTGGAGGAGGAGGAATGCTGCCTATGACCCCAAGAGCACCATCCCCACCGTCAAACATGGAGGTGGAAACATGCTTTGGGGGTGTTTTTCTGCTAAGGGGACAGGACAACTTCACCGCATCAAAGGGACGATGGACGGGGCCATGTACCGTCAAATCTTGGGTGAGAACCTCCTTCCCTCAGCCAGGGCATTGAAAATGGGTCGTGGATGGGTATTCCAGCATGACAATGACCCAAAACACACGGCCAAGGCAACAAAGGAGTGGCTCAAGAAGAAGCACATTAAGGTCCTGGAGTGGCCTAGCCAGTCTCCAGACCTTAATCCCATAGAAAATCTGTGGAGGGAGCTGAAGGTTCGAGTTGCCAAACGTCAGCCTCGAAACCTTAATGACTTGGAGAAGATCTGCAAAGAGGAGTGGGACAAAATCCCTACTGAGATGTGTGCAAACCTGGTGGCCAACTACAAGAAACGTCTGACCTCTGTGATTGCCAACAAGGCTTTTAACACCAAGTACTAAGTCATGTTTTGCAGAGGGGTCAAATACTTATTTCCCTCATTAAAATGCGAATCAATTTATAACATTTTTGACATGCGTTTTTCTGGATTTTTTGTTGTTATTCTGTCTCTCACTGTTCAAATAATCCTACCATTAAAATTATAGACTGATCATTTCTTTGTCAGTGGGCAAACGTACAAAATCAGCAGGGGATCAAGTACTTTTTTTCCCTCACTGTACTTGTCTGTTTACATATTAGTACAATAGTCACCCTACATCTGTTTAATGTACAACTTTTTTGTACTGTCATTGTGCAATCATGAGTCTAAAAATAAACTGCTCAAGCCGCCTTGAGCTGCAGGGAATTCATTACCGAACATTTCCGATTTCTCACGCGATGCAGTTTGTGTGTGCCCCGATTTCCTGTCGCTTCACTGCAGTCCCCTCCTTTGATTTTTCTTTTTTGGTCGATTTGGTGGCCCAGATCAGTCGCATCTTAGCGAACGAGACTCATTCTGCTCTGTTTGAACACGTAGGCTTTCGCGACCGATATTATATTCATAATATATCTAACCCCAAAAAAAGCCTCCATCATGGATCATCCTGGTCTTTTTGAGCCCTCACGTAGTGAGACCAAAGTAAGCTGGAAACCTCGAACACAGCCCTTGATTTGTAGACGCGGTGGTTGGCTATGGTGACGCGCTGCGGTACATCGGGACCCCAACTGTGATGTACATACATGTTATAGAGTGGTAATAGACACACTTCGCTACAGGGGTAACGTATTTATTTATACAGCTGCTACTGCTGCTGATATTCCTACGGCCTCCTATACCCATGACCACTCGCCGAATCATACGTGGGGGGAAAATTGCATCTTCCCCGAACGCAAATGTTCACTCGCTCCAGACACGAGCACGCCGGCTGATCAATCGCCTCCGTATTACTCATCTAACGCTCCTACCATGAAATTTAGATTTAAAGCTTTCGTAACTGCAGGTATTCATATTCTTGGTTCTTTCGGTAAAGTCACGTAGAAGGGAAACAATAAAATACTAAAAATATAAAACAATAAAATTCCCACGACGTTTCGACTGCTGTGGTTTTTCACACCTGATGATGATTGCTTGTGTTGCAGTCGAAACGTCGTGAGAATTTTGTTTTATATTTTTATTATTTTATTGTTTCCCTTCTACGTGACTTTACCGAAAGAACCAAGAATATAAGCTCCTACCATGGTTTACTGTTCCGTTGACTTCACTCATTGATTCCTCCACCCATGTCTCTCTATGCCAGACTGATTCGTCTCACCCACACTGTCAGTGACGGGACTGGGATAAAAAAAATGGGCCCAGGCATTTGTAAACACACCGGCTCCTAGTCGGGCTATGGGCAATTATACATGTTTAATGGGTTGTGCGACAGACTGTATATGTACTAGTAACTAGATTTGTGATGTGAAGTGTTCGCGTGGTTTTGCCGTGCGATCTCATTGGCCCATTTGGGACTGGGTAAAAACAAACAAAGGCGTGGCCAGTGAGGAAGAATCTTTGGGGCTGCCGAATATGGGGACTTAATGCCAACTGAGAGCGTAAATAGCAACGAAGCGTACACATTAGAGGCAATAACATTTTAATTAAAACATGTTTTGGTTACTGTGATCACAAGTGCAATTTCCCCACACAGAGACCGGCCCACTGCTCCTCCTCGGAATGGACCGGCCCCAACCACACTGCGAGTCACGTACCACTCACCCACTTATCCACTCACCCACTTATCCACTCACCCACTTATCCACTCACCCACCCACTCACCACACTGCGAGTCACGTACCACTCACCCACTTATCCACTCACCCACCCACTCACCACACTGCGAGTGACGCACCATTCACTCACTTATCCACTCACCCACCCACTCACCACACTGCGAGTGACGTACCACTCAACCACTTATCCACTCACCCACCCACTCACCACACTGCGAGTCACGCACCACTCACCCACTTATCCACTCACCCATCCACTC